GCATTGGCCTCCCCATCTGCCTCCCACAGACCTCCATTCACTTAAAGCCACACACACACACACACACACACACACTCACACCCATTTCAGGACCAGAGACAGCAGGGGAGGAAAACAATCTGAAGGTGAGTCTGGCTGGCAGGTAGGTCCAGTCCTGGATGTTTGAAGGGAAGAAGGATGCTCAGAGGCAAGACAAGGTGAGCCAGGGGACAGAGAGATGCATGCGAGTACTGCCTCTAAGCTTGGGACTCTGTAGTCGAGGCCAAGGAGAAGGCTGGACTCCAGCAGGCCACCTCTGCCTCTCGGCATCATTATGGCACTGTTCAATTGATAGAGCTATGGTATCTGTAATCCTACTGAGCCCCCAGGAGAGCCCTGAAAAATACACTGCTTTTGTAAAATAATCTCTGTATGTGAGGAAATAAATTCAGGTCCCCTGATCCAGGGAGGGTACTCTTCTATACCTTTGCTTCCATGCATTAGTTCTTGCCTCCCTCTTCTCTTAAATAGGCTTCTCAGACCTTCCGGATCTGTTGGTATTTTGGAATAGCCACAAATTCTTTGCACCTTCCCTTCAAGAAGGGAGCTGAGATGTCCCCTAACTAACCAATAGGTACTGTTCTCTCTCTCTTTCTCCGCTCTTCTCATCTTTTACATATCATGAGGGGGCCAGTGGAGAAGACAGGAACCTCTAACCAACAAACTGGAGATAAGCTTGGGAGTCGGTGCTTCACCCAGTCAACACCCTGACTGCAGCCTCAGGTGAGATACTGAGTGGGGATGTCTCCACGTTCAAGCTGGACTTTGATTTCTGACTTTGAAAAATTGTGTGACATGATAAATGCTGATTTTTATTTTGTTTTGTTGCTTTCTTTTGTTTTTCGAGACAGGGTTTATCTGTGTAGCCTTGGCTGTCTTACACTTGCTTTGTAGACCAGGCTGACCTCAAACTCACAGAGATCCATCTGCCTCTGCCTCTCAGAGTGCTGGGATTTAAGGTGTGCACCACCAAGCCTGGCTAAATGCTGATGTCCTTAAACTGTTAAATTTGGGGGCTGTTTTGTTTTGTTTGCAATAGCAGATACTCAGGCTGTTTTCCTCACCATGAAAACATTCTCTCTACAAAGCCAATCCATATCTCTCTTAAGCTGTGTGCGGAGCACATGCCCTTAATCCAGCCCTCAGGAAGCAAAGGCAGAGGCCTCTATGAGTTGAGGCCAGCCTGGCCTACGTAGGGAGTTCCAGGACAGCCAGAGTTACATAAAAAGACCCTGTCTCAAATAATTTATTTAATTTTAATTATGTGTTTCTGCGTGTCTGCACATCTGAGTGCAGGTGTTCACAGAGGCCAGAAGCTTCAGATCCTCTGGAGCCAGAGTCCCAGGTGGTATGGTCCCCTGACATGGATGCTGGGAACCAAACTCAAGTCTTCAAGAAGAGCAGCAAGTGCTCTTAACTGAGCCATCCCTTGGTCCCCCATCTTTGCTTGTTTTGACATAGAGTCCGGTGTATCCCAGACTTCAAAGACTGGCCTTGACACTCCTGTCCTCCTGCCTTCCCTCAGGAATTGCAGGCATGAACTACCACACTTGGTTCTCAAACCCATACCTTTTCTAGGTGGCTCAAGTCATTTAAGTTTTAGGGACCAAAGAAATGGTCCCTAACGGCTCAGTGAGTAAAGCGTCAGCCACCAAGCCTGTGGATCTGAGTTCGATCCCTGAAACTCATATGATCGGAGGAGAGAACCAAATCCTACACATGTGTGTTTAAAAATGGAAAAAGAGGTTTTGGAGGCCTGGATGGCATACTCTAGTAATCACAGCAATCACTCTTGAAGCTGAAAGGAGTATCAGGCCAGGGGGGACTACAAATGAGACCTTGCCTCAAAAAATAAATATTCCCCCCTCCCTTTTTTTTTTTTTTTCTGGAGACAGGATTTCACCAGATAGCCCCGACACAGAGACCTGAAGCTCTCTGTCAATCAAGCTGACCTTGAACTCACAGAGGTCTACCTGCCTCTGCTTCAATAAGTTACCGGTCTCTTTTCCCTCCTGCTCCAGGAGGCAGAGGAGGGTGTGCTGCTGGCAAGGCCTGGGTTTGGACTCCATATTAAGTAAACTGCTATTCCTAAGGCTTTCCCCTCCTCTATTTTTCCCCACCAGCTTTGTTTCTCCTTATATGCTTCTTTCAATTTTTTTTTTTTTTTAAATATGGGACCTTGTGTAGCCTAGGATAGCTGGACTTTGCTATATTGCTAAGGAAGACCTTGGGCTTCTGATCCTCCTGCCTTCACCTTCTTAGTGCTTGGAATACAAGCACATGCTAACACATCTAGTTTCTGTAGTGCTGGGGAATCAAACCTAGGGCCTTGTGCATGCTAGGCAGCACTCTTACCAACCAAATTACATGCCCACCCCTCCTTTTGCAATTTTTAAATTTTATTTTAATCACAACTTATGAAAAGTAATATCCACTAATATGTCCCAAGAACTCAGGAACACAGCAAGCAGGTTACTGTAATTACCCTTCTTTCACAGGTGACGGACTAAGGCCCAAGGGTTAAACCAATCGTCCAAGGTCACAAGAGGCAGAAAGAGGCTAACGAAGCTTGGACTGCAGGTCAGTACCTCGATTATACAGGCTCTTCCAAGACTTTACACTCAATTAGTGTTTTGTAATCCTTTCCTTAAAGAGAGCAACAGAATCTGGATGTGGCTGCAGCGGTAGATGCCAGTGTGCAGTTTTCTTGTATTTAAAAACACATTTACATATGCAAACGTGTCTGCAGGGCTTGGCAGGCACCCAGCTTTTTCAGCGTACTGTCCTGACTGCCTTCTAACCGTGACGCCATGTGCAGCAAAGACAGCACCTTCATTTGCCCACTTTCCCCGAACTGAACCTTCTCTCTCCTCCCCCTGTCGTCCGTCCCCTTCCGGAAGGCCCCTACCCATTCCGCACACTTTCCCCTTTGGCCTTCTTCCCATGCGCTCACCCACCCCTTCCTCCTCGCTCGTTTCTCTTACTCCCAGCCTCCCGCGTTTCTTCACCGCCCCTCGGCCGGTCCTCCGCCATCGGCCCCGGGGGCCGCGCAGCCCCGCATCCCCTCCCCCGCCCCCCCCCCGCCGCCACCCCTCCGGAATCGGGCGGGAGCGCACAGCCGGCAGGCGACCGAGCGAGCTGACAGCGTAATGAACGGCTTCGGCTGTAATTAGCGACCCCGCGGCTAATCACGATGTGCATTTACATTTTAAGTGCTGTGGAGAGAGCGGGAAAGGGGGCGACGCGCGGGCGGGGAGCCGGGCCTTTTCTGCCTCCTCCCTCCGCAGACTCCGGAATGAAGTGAACGGGCGAGTCTGTGGCGGTGGTGGTGCTCGGAAGGGGTGGCGGCGTCTTCGAGGGCCAACTTGGGTGGAGACACAGCCACCCGGTCCTCACGGAACAAACCCGCAGCCCCCAGGTCTTCCAAACAACAGTACAACCCAGTTCTTCTCCACGTTGGTTAGCCCAGGCTAGCAGAGCCCCGGGGTCGCAGAGCCCGCTTCTCTTCCAACCAGCACATTCCTGCACAGCTTCTAGTCTTTCCGGACTTTTCCTCAGGCCTTAAGGCCCCGCACTTGGCCGAGCGCACTGCAGTCTTGGTGTCTCCCCAAGGCTGTGCCTGCAGGCGGCGGGTCCACAGAGGCCAGAGTCCTAGGGCGTGAGCAGGAGATTGGAGTCTGTCAGTCACTCACACTTGAGGTGGAAAAGAGTCCGGGTGCTGCAGCCACCCTCCAAGAAGAGATGAGAACTAAACCCGGTGTTCTGAGCCGCGGGAGCGAGACCTGTCACGGGCAGTGAGGAGGAACGAGGGCCGGGCAGCCCTACCCTAGACGAGCTGAGCCTGTCCGGCACCAGCTTGCCCACGGAACTGCTTCTTTCAGGGTCACCTGCTCCTTCTTCCCCGAGCTGTAAAAGGTCTGCCTGGCTCCCTGAAGTCGGCGGAAAGCCGGGCTGGAGACCGAGGGCATGGTCTCTCCTTACTAAGCCGTCTTCCTCCCATCCAGCCCTTAGTTCCACGCCAGCGCCCGAGCCTCTTAGAGTGTGGAGTTCCCCGGTTCCCAACACTCTCAACTTCCCCGAAGGCACGCCAGTCTACCTCTCGTCTCTTAAAACCTGCCTTCTTTCTGCGTCCCCTTGGCAAAATCAACCTCTGGATTTCCAGGGGCCAAGGCTGACTGACAAGAAATTCCGCCCGTGATTGAAAGTGAGGAATCTGCATTAGCTGGGCCTGAGCCGGGGACATACAAACGCGTGCAGCTCCAATAAAGGACTTTCAGGCATGGATATGAAGAACTTGGGAAAACGGTCCCCTGTTCCCTTCCCCTTTCATTTTAGGCAGGCTCGGCGCACCACTCCCTGCCTTTCAGGGGTCTGTGGGTGCCGAGAGCCTGGAGAGCTGGGCAAGACGGGCCAGGCTCAAACCTGGTCTCTCTAAGCAACTACGAATCACGCCACGACGTCGCGGTCTGAGCCCAGGGAAGGCGCGGTGCGTGGCCGCAGCCAGCGTCTCCCACACTCTGCTGACCATGCACTGGCTGTCCTTGAGGAGGAACGTAGGGAGAGGAAGGGAGGGGGTCCCTGGAGGGCTGGAGGAGCGAGGCCCCAGGAGGCGGAAATCTCTTACCTAGGGAGGGGTCTAGGGACGCCCTCGAGCTGGAACCCTGAAGGTTCGGGGACCAAGCTTGAATTGGCGTTTGCACCTCAGAGTTTTTATTTAGGTTGCTCCCGCATGAGGGCTGGTTCAGGGAGAACCGATGGCGACTTCGGGAAACTTGGCCTCCCAAATCACCCCGGCGCTGTGACCGCATCCGCCGAACACCAGCGCTAGATGCTCAAGGCGGGCTGGGCTGGGACACCGACAAGTCACGCAGAGTTGGGGCGGGGCCTGGGCGAAGGGGCGGGGCCTCTCCGGCTCCCAGGCGGAGCTTCTGCTAAAGGCGCGGAGCACAAGGCACCGAGGGCGCAGAGTAGAGCAGCGCTACCCTGAAGAAGTCTGGGCTGCAGACTGCACGTTCCCAGCCCACCCTCCAGCTTCCACTCGGTGCCCGCATCCCGACCTCTGCCAGCCCTCGCCCGGCGCGCCCCGCGGCCATGCAGCGCCGGGCTTGAGGCTGCCCCATGGCCAAACCTGCGATCCCAGCTACGACGGCGCATGGAGAACTTCCGTAAGGTGCGCTCGGAGGAGGCGCCGGCGGGGGACGGCGATGAGGGTGGCAGCCCGAGCTCCGGCCCTTTCGCAGATCTGGCGCCCGGTGCTGTACACATGCGGGTCAAGGAGGGCAGCAAAATCCGCAACCTGCTGGCCTTCGCCACCACCAGCATGGCGCAGCCAGCCACGCGCGCCATCGTCTTCAGCGGCTGCGGCCGGGCCACCACCAAGACCGTCACGTGCGCCGAGATCCTCAAGCGCCGCCTGGCGGGCTTACACCAGGTCACGCGGCTGCGCTACCGGAGCGTGCGCGAGGTGTGGCAGAGCCTCCCGCCCGGACCCACGCGGGGTCAGACGCCCAGCGATCCGGCCGCCAGCCTCAGTGTGCTTAAGAACGTACCGAGCCTCGCCATCCTACTTTCAAAGGACGCGCTGGATCCGAGACAACTTGGCTACCAGCCTCCGAGCCTCAGTCCTGGTCCTTCGTCCCCTCCTACGGTGTCGACGTCCAAGAGGAGCCTGGGGGAGTCTGCTGCTGGAGAAGGCACAGCTAAGCGGTCTCAGCCTGAGCCAGCAGCTGAAAACGAGGACCAGACTGCCCGAGAACTCCCGGCTCTGAGCCACCTAGACCAACTGGATCTTATATCCTCAACACCCCTACTTCCACACCAACCTTTCACGTCTGGGTTTCAAGAGACCCATGTTCCTGGACACAGGTCCTCAGAATGACAGCATGGATCCACAGGACAGGGAGCGAGGATCTCAGAAATCCAAGGAAACTTTGTGGGGCGAGTTGCCAGAAGCCACAGAACTCCACCCACACCTTTTCTAGGCCATCCCAGGATTTTTATTTATTTATTTATTTTTTTAGGGAAGCATGGTGGGTAGTGGAACTCTTGAGCCTTCTTGGGGACCCAGATGTTAAAAATGCCCAGCATGCATGAAGGCTCTTGAAATCATCCTTGCTGTTAACCGAGAGCAGGAGCTGTGACGCTGATTCCTTCAGGGTGGCCACGTTGAAAATGTTCAGGCCATATTCTGCCCACCCAACCCCTAGCAATTCTCTTTTTACCTTTCCTTCCTCTTAGCATCACCCCCCCCCCCTTGCATGGTGGCAGAGAAAAGACCCAGGACAAAACTTGCCATGCCTCCTCCCCTGGGTGCTTGGAGTCTTGCTTCCAATAAAACAAACATGAAAATGGCTCCGTCCCCAGTTTTGTTTTATTTTTTTTCTTTACCCACTCGTCTGTGCAGAGACCACTTTGGCATGCTTGCCTTAAGCCCTATTAGCCTTTTGAGTCTTCAAGGTCAGACACAGATTCTGGGCAGCGTCAAAATGTCTAAGAGGGACTTGTGCTGGGGCAGGCTGGGGTCTGTGTCCCTGTTGCATGCCCACAAAGGGAAAGGAGGCAGTCTTGCTGCTTTCCTGGGAGGGGGAAGAGGGAGAGAGAGCTGGAGGCGGCAGCCTGCCGAAGCTGGCAGACCATGCTAAGGTTCTAACCTTGCACCCTCCTCCCAGTAGACATACTTACCCAGAGGCAGGCACAAAGCCCCATGAGGAGGAGCTCCCCTTCACTGCCCTCTCTCTGCAAAAGGACAGCACACCCTTGGGAGAGGGGGAGGAGAGAAACAGCACAAATCCACTGCTGGAAATTACTATTCAGCAGAGAAGCTTGGGCTGTGAATCACTGCAGGCTCCCTGATAAGCTGCTGCCTCCAGCCCTGCACAGCTGTGTGTTGAGAGATAACGGCCTCAGATGCCTCTCAGCCCAAATCCAAGTCCGGAGGGGGTGGGGGTATGCTGTGTGCTGGAAGTCGGGGAGCTGTGCAGCATACAGCTCAGGATCTTTAGAGCGGACGCCAACCCATGGAACTTAGCACCTCTGGAAAGGAGATGGGAGAGAATAGATTTGTAAAGTCACTTTGCTTGCAGAACCTTGAAATAAATCCTACTGGTGAGGACATTGGTTTCTACAGCTGATGGGGGGGCTCCTTGGGGAGGTCTGTTCTCTCCTTTCAATATATCTGTTTGTGCTTTGGATCACTGAGTCCTGTCATCCAGACTGTCATTGCCCTGCAACACCACCCCCCCTGACTTATTTATTTTTTTTTTAGAGGAGGTCTTTCTATGCAGCGCAGGCTGGCTGGGAACTGATCCTCCTGCGCCAGCCTACCGAGTGCTGAGATTACAGGTGTGTAACTAGCCCAGCTCTAGGGATTTAGATGTGTTTGTTGATCCCTCTCATTGATGGAGCAAGAAGCATGGGAAAAATAAAAACTGGGCTGGGAGCCGGGCGTGGTGGTGTATGCCTGTGATCCCAGCACTAGAGGAGGCAGTGGATCTCTGTGAGTCTGAGGCCAGCCTGGTCTACAACAGGTGAGTCCAGGACAGCCAAGGCTACACAGAGAAACCTTGTCTCAGAAAAAAGAAAAACAAACAAATAAAAATCAGAAAACTGGGCAGGGGATGTAATTCAGCTGGTAGAGTATTTGCCTGGCATGTATAAAGTTTCATTTTTGATTCCCAGCACCACATAAATTTGTCATGGTGGCATATGCCTTTAATACCAGAATCCTAGAGATGGGGACAGGAGTATCAAAAGTTAAAGAACATCCCTGGCTGCACATGGAATTTGAGGCCAGCCTGGACAAAGGGTCTCAGAAAAGAGTAAACTATCCAGGCAACTGAGGTACCCTGGACTACTGGGCTTCCCAAACTAAAGAAAATGATTAGATTTAGGAGTCTGGAACGCTAACTGCCCACGGGGGCCTTGCTTGGATGACTGCCCTGATTCCAGGACTCTAAGCAGAGTCTACCAGGCGTGTCAGGAAGGCAACGCTATGGAGGCTTTTTTCATGGGCCATGTGAGTCTCCTTTCAGCCTACAAACATGTTCTGGGATGGGGAAGAAGGACATGCTTCATGTAGCTTCAGACTTATCCTGCTCCCTTGGGAGAAAACAAGCCATTATCAGCTTTCTTTTCTGCATCCCTACCAAAGCCAGCAGGTTTGCTATCCAGGCTTTTCATGAGTGTGTTAACACATCAGTCAAGCCACATCTGTCAGTGCCCACTTCTGCCTTACTGATCCTCTGGCCCTGCTGTCCCTTGAGCAGTTTCCAAAGGGAGGACACATGTCCCAGCCCCCCTTCCTCCCCATCACAGAGGCTGGACTGGGAACTTGAGAAGCCCCTGCTTAAGGAAAGGTCGTGGATGGAACACCTCAGAGACAGTGTCTTCTTCAGGAAGGGACTGGTGGTAAAGTGGGAGAAAGAGGGAGTCTCTCTTGTGAGGCCTCCATCTTTCCAGTCTTGGTCTCTGTTTTGTAAACTTTCCCTGGTGGATGGGAACAAGCACCTACCCACCCTAGGGTACCAGCAACATGATGGCCAGAGATGATTGCACCCAAGTCTAGCTTGGAGAACGAACCAGTTTATTGGGTTTTCTTGCAGAACATGAGTGAGGGGTTACTTGCACGAGTGTGGGTGACCCCGAGCAGCCCCACCGCTGAAAAGTCTCACGCCAGCATGGACGACAGCTCTCCCATAGCTGCACACATGGTGTCCCCCTCCAGTTAACCGTGTATACACTCAGCACCTGCTGAGCCCACGAGCCCACATGCAGCTGGGAGCAGAACTGTGCACTGTGGAAGCCAGGTGCAGGAGGGAGGCGTGGCATCGCAGGTGAGGGAGTGCCAACAAGCCTGGTGTGAAGTCACTCGTCTACAGCTGCTTCTGATGACTTCGGTTCGGTAGTTATGCGTGGAGCACAGTGTTCCCTGAGCCTGGTGCTTGCCTCCATCCCTGTGGTACTCGGGTCACAAAACCAAAATCCATTCAGGAACATAAAAGCATGATGTAACGCACAATCAGATGATGGATGGCCACTCAACTCACTTTCATTGTTCTGTTGTTGTGTCAACTTCCAGTCCAGGTACAGGGAGGGGGTAGAATCACAGAATAATCTGACATTGCTTCAGCCTCCCCCCACCAGTCTATTTCAGAGAAGGAAGAGTAGTGTATGAACACTCTTGTTTATGCATGCCTGTCCTGCCAGCTCTTAGGAGACAGAGGCAGGAGTTTGGAGAGTTCAGGGCTAGCCTAAGGTACACAGTGAGTATGAGGCCAGCCTGGGTTATGTGGTAGAACTTTGCCTCATAAAAAAGGGGATAGGGTAGTGAGGAGGGGGTAAATAAAAGCCAAATATAGTGATGTATATGTACAAGCAGGTCACAATAAAACCTACAATGTTGTAGGGTAGAAAATAAATAAATAAATAAATAAATAAATAAATAAATAAATAAATAATAAAAAATACTTTTAAATGAAAAAGTAAGCCAGGCAGTGGTGACACATGCCTTTAATTCTAGCACTTAGAAGGCAGAGGCAAGACGATCTCTGAGTTCAAAGCCAGACTGGTCTATAGAACAAGTTCCAGGACAGCTAGGCCTACATAGAGAAACCCTGTCTAATAATAATAATAATATTAATGATAATAATGTGGGTTGAAAAGAGCAATTGGAGATTGAAAGCTACAGGGAGGTAAGAGCCGAGACTCTGGTCATGGGACTGGAAACAGGGCATGTCTTAGAGTTACCAAGGCTAAGCAGCTTGCTACCATTACAAGCAGGAAAAAGAAAGAAGGCCTTTTGAGCATTTGTCCTGGCCTGGCCAGCTCTTGACCTGCCTTTCTGGCATTCCAAGAAAGACACCTTTCAAGGACCAAACAGAATGGGGGAGTGAATAAGCTTCATTTGCCATAAATAAGCTGTGCACTGGCCATGAATGCGCCAGGTGTATTCACTTTCTAGAGAAGATGCCAGACACAGGCTCACCTTCAACCTTTCACCTTCAACCTTTACCCTCTGTTTTCCTAACCTCTTTACTTGGTCCATTTTTTGTCATTATTCTAAGCAACAGGGACAATCTAATTCCCTTTATTTCACCTAGATATTAGAATGCATACAGTGTCAGGCAGGGGTGATTGAAGAAAGCGGGCTAAGGGCAGAGCTGGAAAGGTGGGCCAGTGGTTAGCTGAGCTCACCGCACTTACAGACACACAGGTAGATGCTAAAGGTCTGCTACCTCCCGCTCCGGGGGCCCGGTGCAGACCCTGGACTCTGCAGAGTCGCCTCCACATACATGTACATGCTCTCTCCACCATCACCATACACACATCAGTTAAATGTTTTCTTAAAAAAAAATAGAGCTGGAAAGTTGGCTCAGCGCATAGGGACATGTAGTGCTACTGTAGAGGACCTGGGTTCGGATCCCAGCACCCACCTGGCAGCTTACAGTCATCTTTAACCCGTTTCAGGGGATCCAGAACCATCTTCTGGCCTCCATGGGTATCATGCATGCTCACAATGTACTTATAAACAGGCAAGACACTCATATACCTAAAGTAAAAACAAACAAATTCATTAAGATAAAGTAAATTTAAATTAAAAGAAGAATTGGGGAAGGAGGGAGGAAGTAAAATTCTGTCACAAGATTGGCTCTCTTAGAGCACAGCTGTAACTATGCCCCACCAGTGGGATCTTTGGAGAGCCTGGCAGTCACCCTGCTAAAGGTATGTGCCTAAGACTAACTGAGTCCCACTTGCTTTGCACCCTGTCCAGTTCTTGGTTCTTAAGATGCCATTAGAGCGTTGTTAACTGAATGAACAGGGGCTTGCTGAGCCAGGTTTTTCAACTGTTGTTCTGTCATATTAAAGTCCACAACTGGGGCCTGGGAGGGGGCCTAGCCGTTAAGCATGTGTTGCTATTCCGAAGGACTTGAGTTCAGTTCCAAGCAGCCATGAGGGCCAGCTCACAACTGCCTGTAACTCCAGCTACAGGGAATTCACAACTTCCTCTGTTCTCTGGGGGCACCTGTACACATGGGGCATAGAGCCACAGCAATAATAATGATGATGATGATGATGATGTTTTAAAGTCCACAATTGCCCAGTCCAGAGCTGCCACTAATTCTACCATAGCTGTCTTGGCTCATCTGGGCCCTTGGATCTTCCTGCCCTGACCAAGTAGGGTCATCATGGAAAGTCTTCCCTAGGGAATTTAAGGTACCAGTCTCAGGGACTTTGTTACTGAAGCTGTACGCAACAGACACAGTAAATTTTCTCACTACCTTCCAGCGAAAAATAAGGAGATGAACAAGGAGTATTTGTCAAGGCACCTGTTATCAAAACGAC